AACGCCTCATCTTTCTTCCGCGGAGCCGCTGGTAGTTTCGAACTGTTGGCCTTAAGGTTCGCAGCCCGATTCGTAACCACTACGCTATTCAGTATATATATGCGTTGAGTAATAGCTGCTTTTCTGCGGAAGGCATCCAATTCTATTAAAATTGCTAGATGCGGGCAGCTCATCAGCAAGAGTACTTTCCTAGTGGAAAATAGAAATTTATATGACAGTGTTACACAGAGACCTGAAAATTATAGCTGTAAAGTCTTTTAAAAATCAAAGTCCTACTTTTGGCTTTAAAAAAACATACAAAATAAAATATTAACAGTTGTCATAAAATGTTCTTCTTGTCTTGAAATAGGCCATACTAGAGAAATAATTATATACATACCTGAGAAGAAACAGAATTATATTTACATTTACATTTCTATAAATAGATGACTAGGCATATAGGCACTTAGGGAACTAGATTATGGAGGTGTTTTCAGGAATTTATAATGGAATTGTGATGGTTTTTATTACAATTCCTGACTGTTACAAATAGTCAATGCTGTGGGAAAGCTAAATTGTATTACTGAGTCTCACAATAACCCCAAATCCCATTTTTTCCCCTCTCCTTCTTCCTTTTCAGAACTCTCTTCGTTTGTCACGTGTTAACAAAAAGCCAAAATGTTGGTGTTGCTGGCTGGTATCTTCGTGGTCCACATCGCCACTGTCATCATGCTGTTTGTTTGTACCATTGCCAATGTAAGACTCTCTTTTATTCATTCATTTAATAATTATTTATCTAAATTGACATAAGGTAAATTTATGATTTACATAAAATGCTACAAAACAAGTTTAAACCATAGCTCCTGCCCTTTGGGAATTTACAGCTTGGTTCTGGAAAGAAATAACAGCACACACTCACACTTAGAGAATTAAGTAACAAGGAGGAAAAACAAGTTTTTCAAGGGGACCTTGGGAGTTCAGAGGGTGAAGTTCACATGAGGCTTCTTGTTTCTAGGAGAGCCTTTTTGGTAGAGGTAGGTCTGGAGGTCTGGTAGCGTAGTGGTTACGAATCGGGCTGCGAACCGTAAGGTCAGCGGTTCGAAACTACCAGCCGCTCCGCGGGAGAAAGATGAGGCTTTCTACTCCCGTAAAGATTTACACCCTCGGAAACCCTGTACAGGGTCGCTATGGGTCGGAACCGACTCGATGGCACTTAACAACAACAACAACATGTCTGGAGGTCACATGTGGAGCCCTAGTAGATGAGTGGGGTTCCTATGGATAAAAGGATGGTGGAAGGAGCATGGAGGTGCAGAGTGGAAGGACAAGCTTTGTTCAGGGGATGAGGAGGAAGACATCCTTGTGTCTGGAACAAATCTTCTCTTCCTTCTAGGTTAGATGGATAGGTTGGAGTGAGGGGATGGATAGCTCTGATTGCCAAGCTGATGCATTTCAGTTTTAAGCAGACAGTATAGCATGTGTCAGAAGAATTTTGCAAGATTAACCCAGTTCCTTTGAAGTAACCCACCAAGCAAAACAACCTAAAAATACTCTTGGAGGCAGCAATAGTGATTTTTCTCAGAATCTTGGGCTACTGTGACCTCTAGTGGTAGTTTAAAGCATCCAATTTGCTTTCACTGCTTTTTTTCAGAAAAACCAACCAACCAACCAACCCAGCTTCTTGGACATGCAACCGAGTCCACTAATCATTAGACAGGCAAACTATCGATCCAGAATCTGTTTAAGTTTCTGTTACAATGAAAGGATAAATGAAATTGAAAATTTAGCTAAAAGAGCTTTGTAAACATTGGTGGGTGTAATTACAAGCAAGGCTAATTTAAGCAGAGATGTTATAAGACAGCACCTCTATATCCTCAAGCCCTGCCCACACAACCGTCGTCTCCAGATGGTAATTTAGCCATTCTAATGCCACTGCTGTGTTTCTTAGGATAAAAAAAAAAAAATCTGATAAACAACTTTAAATGATATTAATTGATGGCAAAGTATCAAATATTTGTTAATTGTTATTATTAGTTGCTGTGGATCAATCCAGCCAACCCCTAATATGGGTGGTGAAAATTATTAAATGCTTGCCTACTCAGTGTAAGGTAAATGGTTGGAATCCACCCAGAAGTGCCACGGAAGAATGACCTGGTGATGTAGTTAGAAATATTATAGTTATAGAAAACTTTGTGGGCTATATTTCTTTTCTGACACACATAGAATAACCATGAGTTGTAGTCTACTTGATGACAATTGATAAACTGATAATATGGAGATTAGTACATGATTGTGTGAACAATAGGAGATTGCTTAACCTAGCCCTATCTTTCAGTAAGATGCGTTTTAACAGCCACATTGTGTTCTCTATTCCAGAGGATAAATGTTTCTCTTGGGTCAGGTGGGAAGGGAAGCTGGCACCATGGTGAGCCTGGGACAATACATTTTGGTTACTCTGATACTGATAGCTTTAGAGAAAAAAAAAAAAAGAAGTGACTTTTTGATCACTCAGATTCATGGATATTTTCTCAGAATTCCTCGTGTTTTTAGCTGTCTCCTGTTGAACATCCTCCCCACCTTCTCTTTATATGAAACTATCTTGAGATAGTAAATGAATTGTGCCTACTTAACATCAATTTCCTCATTTAGGGTTTTGATTACCTTAAAAATGTCAATTCCTCTGATTAAATTCCTTTCACTTAAAATAATAAAAAAACACTTTTTTTTTTTTTTTAAAGTGATGAGGATTGTAAACCCAAAGAAGTTACATGATTCCCAACCTTGGTTGCACATTCTTCAGGCTTTATTCACACGAAGACATAGGCTGCTTATAATCCTATGGCTAAATATGCTATCTTGCTGATACAAGTTGGTTTATTTTCTTGTTTAAAGCAGAGTGATCCGTTTTTAAATAACTGTCTTTTTTCCTTTTGATTTTTAGGTCTGGGTGGTTTCAAATACAGGACAATTTTCAGTAGGTCTCTGGAAAAATTGCACTGATGGCAACTGTGACAATTTATTGGTGTATGCTGATGAAGGTATATGTAAACACGGTGTTGGGGGTCAGGGAGATGTCCAGCCTCTTGGACCCTGGTTTGTCTGATGCCCTGCTCTCTTCTCCCTGTGCCCACAGATGCCCTCAAAGCGGTACAGGCCTTTATGATCCTGGCCATCATCTTCTCTGTCATTTCCCTTGTGGTCTTCATATTCCAGCTCTTCACTATGGAGAAAGGAAACCGATTCTTCCTCTCGGGTGCCACCATGCTGGTGTGCTGTGAGTATTTTAGGGACAGACTTCAGTTAAGTGGTTCTCAGTTTCTACTCACTTAATTGATCTTTCAGAAGCAGATAACCAAGTCTGTCTCCCAATTCAGGTACCTCTGGGTGGGTTTGAACTGCCAACCTTTTAGCTAGTAACAGAGCACTTCACTGTTGGTGTTCCCCAGGAACTGCCCATTTAGGTGGGAAAGATTTAGGTAGATCCTGCCCTGTAATGGATGCATCTGGCAACTCGATTAGCACAGAGTTTAGAGCAACCGTCTTGTACAATTTTCTCCTCTGCCTCTTTCTCTTTTTGAGAACCTCTAATTAATTGCACCTGGACCTTAAAGTCAGTTTAAACCACAAGGTCGGCAGTTCAAACCCACCAGCTGCTCCTCCGAAACCCTTTACAGGATTGTTATGAGTTAGGGCTGACTCAAAGGCACTTCACAACAACAACAATAATGCACCTTAGGGGTCCTGGTGTGGCCCTGTAGAATAAGCACTGGACTGCTAACCACAAGGTTGGCTGTTTGAACCCACCAGCCACTCTGCAGGATAAAGATGAGGCTTTTTGCTCTTATAAAAACTTACAGCCTCAGAAACCTTGGACAGATGGGCTATGAGTCGGAACTGATTCTGCAACACATAATCACCACCACCATCTACTTCATTGTTTGAAACTACGCCTCTCTCTTAAAGAAGGTGGGAGTTCTTTAAAGATGAAAACACTGCTAGGCAAATAGTATGGTGGTCATTCTATCGTAATTCTCCCCTAATACACCCAGTTGGGCAGAAAGCCATGGTCTTTGGCTGAGTAGCCCTGACTGGACTTTCTGGAGTGCAGAAGGGGAAGCTGGATGGTGGGCATTGTCTTCTCTGTTTTACTTCACATTTGTCACCCAAACCACTGTAGCTGCCAATTGTTAATTTATCAACGCAACCCATCAAGCTTAGTCCAGGGCAAGTCAACAGAACTACATGTTTAGGGCCAAACAGCCAGATTTCATTTTCCATTGACAGTAAGGGAACTAGGATCTTATACAAACTACACAAAACTTCCTTAAGCCCTAAAACAGCAACTATTGTTAATGTACACTTTTCCCCCTTCTCTCTCATGGCAGGGTTGTGCATTATGGTCGGAGCGTCCATCTATACTCATCACTACGCGAATAGTCAGACAATGTATTTTTCCTCAGGCAGTCACCATGGCTATTCCTTCATCCTGACCTGGATCTGCTTCTGTTTTAGCTTCATCATTGGCGTTCTCTATCTGGTCCTGAGAAAGAAATAAAGCTCAACAAGTGTAGGGGGACCTGGGGGGTGGGGAGGAGGAGGTAGTTGAATCCGGGAGGGAAATGGAAGTTGTGCTGGAAAAACCAAGAAAGGGGTGGGGGCGGGGAGGGGGGAGTAAGGGTGGGGGAGACCAAAACCTAAACTATTGCTGAGAAGATTTTCTAGTATCAAGACCCTGCCCTTGAAGAAAGTAGTTGGCTAGAACTTGGATGCTCCCTTGATACGGGCCAGAGAGCCTCTTTCTGGTCATTAGCCTGGACCACCAGACGTTTTCAGTGAGACACACTGCCTGAGGCGCCCTCAGCTGCTATACTACCGGCTCCACCTCTGAGGGTGTGTTCTGGTTCATGCACCTGGGTCCTCAGCTCTACCGCTTCAACTTAAAATAGTGGTACAAGTTTCAGCAAGTGCAGATATTGTTTTTGTGCCAAATATGCTAATATGGAAGCCATCCCGCCCTTCTGAAGTACCCCCGAGAGGACTTTGGTCATGGAGACATTTTCCCTCTTTAGAACTGAGGTTTAGCTCTGTGGAATTCAGTGGTATTTGTGACAAAACAGGAGGAAGTGAGATAGAGCGAGAAGGCCAAGAAGGGTTAGCTACACCGTGAAAGAGAACTTTTCTCCTTGGAAGTCCTGGGGATGGTCAGAGCCCAGAGCAGACCTCACACAGCTGTCTCTTATGGAAGAGTCTGGCCATGGACTCGGCTAGGTCTTTCCCTTAAAAGCCAAGCAGCTTCTCTGCAGTTTCAGTAAATCCATGAATGACTAATTCAGTGGCAAAAGCACCACAAAACCCACAAGATCAAGAGGCAATCTTGCAACAGGGTTACATTAGGGTCATGTTTTTAGGATCCCCTCTTAATGCTGTCAATGTTTCTGTCAAGTATATCCTGAGAGAGCGATGGATTTAGCTCCTTGTGACACAAGTTTACTAATCTCCCTCTAAATGATACCGTTTCATGGAAGTTCTGTATTCTTACCATACTGGGGATCAGGGCTCCTAGGCTTAGTGGCAGCTCTAGCTTTGACACCAGCTAGAGTAGTCACCTCTTAGAGTCTCTGCCTAACCCTCTTTACAGGTGGGGCCTAGCAACGCTGGAACCCGATTAAAACACACACAAACCAAAAGCAAACAACAGGTCCTTGGGTGGAAGGTGCTATCTAATAGTAAAGTATTAAGCATACTCTATTTCAGTTATGATAAGTACAGAGTGCCTGCGCTCCCAGGATACTAAGAAAATTCCCAAGTGATAAATGCCAATGTAGGTGGAGGGCAAATATTTTCTTTTAAAAACAGGAAAACAAAAACCTCTTGTGGTATCCAGTCAGATGATAACTGAGCTGCTCGGATGCCACAGGAGGATTTCTATATAGGACTTAGAAGTAAGTAGTATGTTATTCCTGTTTCAGCAGGCATTGCTCTTCCATGGAGCAGCTATTTTAAGCCATCTCAGATTCTGCCTAATGGGTTTTTTTGGGGGAAAGAGACTGTCTCTAGCACTCCAAGAAGATCTATCCCAGGCAGAAACTGAAACATCTTGCCCACTTTTCTTCTTACTCTCTTACCATCCTCCCACTTCTTATATACTTTTCTTTTTTGGGAGTTGTTATGCCACGATTGCTGGTATTTATGTAAAAGGTCTAATACTAGGTATATTGCTCCATGTTCATTCTAGTTAAGGGTATATCGAGGGCAGGCCACCAAATTACCTGGGTGAAGAAATTGGTTAGCAAAACTGTGGGATGATAAACTTTTAAATTAAGATTTGATTTTCAGACAGTTTATAGAAGGCTGTCTTATGTGCAGAGGCATACTTACATATCAGATATATCCAGAAGAGATATTCACATTATGTTAAAAAGTCAAACTATGACTGGAGTGAACCATGTATTCCCTGTCTTTTACTATTTTTCTGTGACATTTATGTTTCATGTAATTTGCTTTACATTTGTGGGTTGTTCTAGTACTGTATCTGGCTTCTTTAATGGATTGATATTTCATATACCATAATTGTAAATATTTTGATACAAATGTTTATAACTCTAGGGATATAAAAACAGATTCTGATTCCCTTCACTGTGTGAGTGTTTTCTTTTTAAAAACAGTAGGAACACATGAATAATAGTGACCTTTATTCCTAATTACTTTGCCAATCAATTTGATTTGGACAACTTGGTATTTATTTGTGATATTAAGCTACTTTCCGGCTGAATGCTGGGCATTTTTACAATAATTCAGGCAACTGAATGTTATAAAAGATATTTTTACCTTGTTTTAATTTAAAATTTTAGATAAAATGAAACTCATAAACTACTACATTAGAGGTGTTATTTTCTTGCAAATAAGAGTGGCTTATGACTTTAAGAAAAGACACAGGATACATTTCCTTAAGATAGCCAGTTCAGTCTGCTGTGTTTAAATACAAAGTGATTCACGAAAGTAAACATCACAATTCATCGCATAAACAGACATATCTGTATGAGTTCTAAGTGAAGAAAAGTATTGCTTCTGTGAGTAAAAAGAGTTAGGGGGCAATGGCGGAAGAACAGTATAGATACAATCCGCAGCATCATGTCAATATCAATATGATAAGAATGGTTTTAATGTGGAATAGTCAATCTTCCAGTCCCCTCTGGACATGGATAAAATAACTGTAGAGTAAAATACCAAAACTACACAATGGGACCTGAAAATAAAATGTCAATGTATTTTAAAAGCAGTTAATTGATCAAATTGCTTTGATTATTAAAGCCTTCTCAGAGAGCTATATGATTCCTGAGATACTATTGTTTCTTGGATACAATTCTAAAAGGTCTACTTCCTTCCCTTACTTCTCCCAGGACACCTCCATGGGGGTTCTTTCCCCCACAGCATCTACACAGACATAGATCAGACTTCCAGAGCATCCCTCCTCCTTCCTTGGCCAGAACATCCAACAACCTCCCAACCCTATCCAAGGAGTCCTTTCTTGCCAACTTGGTATTGTCTCCCTTCAGGACCCAGATGTGAATGGGGGAGGAAGGGAGTATTCTTATTAAGGATAAGTCACTGACTTTTATAAAATAGCTTCAGAAAAACTTTAAAAGAAACAAACACATTTGTGGGTGACATTTAGCTCTTTTAGGTAGTGAAATAGCAAGACATGGGTGTTAACTTGTAAGATGACCTTGGATTATCCTGTGAAAGAACAGAAAATTGTCAGAGTCTCTTTTCTAGGCGAGCTTAACAAATATTTGTTAAATGTAATGTCTTGGGTAGAATCAAGCTCAATTCAAGTGGTTAAGTAAATACTATCAGGTGAAATTGGCCTAAATTATGTGAATAGAAAAGATGAGCTACAGCAGATAAACCTGAGGTTATCATTCAAGAATGGGACTTGCAGGCAACTGGTGATACACTTGAGACACCAAAAAGATACAATAGTATCCTTCTGCCTGCGGCTTAACCATTACAGCACCTGTGTGGTACCCCATTGGTACAGGCACAGAGCAGAGTTTCAATAAAGTCTTGAAAAAAAGCATCTGAAAATAAGACTTTGAACAGGACTCCATACTCAAACAAAAGATGCTCTCTCTCCTACACTTACTAAGAAGTAGTCAAATACTAAACTATGGAGTCCTGGTGTGGCACTGTGGGTTAATGCGCTGGACTGGAAGATCAGTTTGCACTACAAGGTCAGTGGTTCAATCTCCTTGGAAACCCTATAGAGGGTTGCTATGGGTCAGAATCGACTTGATGGCACTTAACTACAACAACATCCAAATGTACCAACAAAAATGTTGAAATGTACTTAAAAGAAAGCTGGACTTGGAGGAATACAGGGAGAGGGTTTGTGTGGTCTAAGGCGAATGAAAATAGAAAAATTTGCTAGAAATCTTGGAGTAGATGTTGAAGAGGAATGATTAACTTTACAGTTGTATTCACAGTCCAGAAGGAGAACACAGCACTCAGAACAAACAACAGGTTGGAAAGGATGCGCCCTGACTATCTGGATCTTTGGAGTCCCATTTAGCCTAATTTCTCCTAGGGAAACCTACTTATAGGGCACACCCCCACAGCCTTTACTTAGAGTAGATTCCTACTTATGGTGACCCACAATAGAACTGCCTCATAGGGTTTCCAAGTCTTCATGGTAGGGATTGACTATTCAAACATGTATTGAGAAACTACTTGGGTGCTAGATGCTGCATGTAGATATTGGGGGAATAAAAGATGAACGGGACAAAATTCCTATCTTTATTGAGTCTAGTTTTGGGGTTAAGCCCCTACTCAGAAATGAGGAGTGCTGCAGCCTGTGGGAAGGCAGCAGAAGAATGTTCAGGATTTCTGGTCTTCCTAAAGACTCTTCTTCCATCTCACAAGTTATTTGTTGATAAGTCCTATGGATTTTCTCTCTGCTGTTCTTCTCACTTGTCAAAATCCCCTGGTCCAGGCCCACATTGCCTTCCATCTGGATAAACTATGTGTGAAAGATGTTCCAACAGTCTCTCTGCTTTCAACTATGGCCCCTGTATGCTGAAGTCAGCTTGTGTGTTGATGGCTGATTCTATCACGGGGTGAGGGGGGAGGGGGAAGACAAGTCACACTGGGAGGGCTAGATCTCCAGCAGAGGAAGGCAATGAGTGTTTGCTTGTAGTAGATTACTACTCATTCTGCTGGCTAACTGCTGGTCTACCAGGACATGTAGGATGAGCCTTAACTGAAGAATGACCATTTAAGTATGGGAAATGAGGGCAGTTTACATTCAGAGATAAACTGAATGAAGGGTAGAGGAAAAGGACGAAATGATTGTTAAGCTCTTTCCAATTTAGAAATGGGTTGGCTCAAGAATTTCTTTTCTTAAATGGCGTTTCGAACTCACAAGCTGCTCCTTGGAAACCCTATACAGGTTCGCTGTGAGTGGAACCAACTCAACAGCACTAAACAACAAAAACATTGTTTGGAAGGAGCTCTGGGGACACAGTGGGTTAGTCATTGTACTCTGAGGGGAAGATG